GAAACTGTCACCGTACAGTCTCTGCTTGCTGTTGGGATCACCACCCAAAAGCCTACTTATCTCTTCAACTGAAAAGTAAACAAAACACCAGGGAACATCCGCAGCTACCTGGCATACCACGCCGTCATTAGCGCCACTTAACGATTAGAAGACAATGACCTTCTCCTTTGAAGACTGGCACGAAGCTCTGCGCAGTCACACCTGACCAATGTGAAGAGGCCTCACTGGACTGAAAACAGCCTAAATTCCTTTTATGAGGTAAGGAGCATGTCTTAGGTAATAAACACTTAAGTAATTAGATGGGTTTTATGGAGACAACTATAAACTGAAACATGGGGAAAATCACCTTGGTCATCGGCTGCCGCCCAGGGCAGCGGGTATATAAGGGCCGGGGCAGACGGGCAGAGCATTGAGACACCCACACTTCTCCTCTCAGCCCTACACAAACCCAGCTCCCAGCACCATGGCTTGCTGCGTCGCCCGCTGCTGCAGTGTCCCCTCCGGCCCCGCCACCACCATCTGCTCCTCAGACAAGTCCTGCCGCTGCGGGGTCTGCCTGCCCAGCACCTGCCCACATGAGATCAGCCTCCTGCAGCCCACCTGCTGCGACCCCTGCCCCCCACCCTGCTGCCAGCCTGAGGTCTATGTGCCCACCTGCTGGCTGCTCAACACTTCCCACCCCACTCCTGGCATCAGCGGCATCAACGTGACCACCTACGTTCAGCCTGGCTGCCAGAACCCCTGCGAGCCCTGCTGCTGAGCAGCCACACCTTGGCCGGGACATGACACGGCTGCTCCGTGTCCCCCCACCTCCTGGCCTTCCATGCTGCTGCCTAGCACCTCGGAGCAAGCCCAGCCAGTGCCGAGGGCCAGCTCTCCCCAAGTGGGCTGGACCTCCCAGGCCCTGCTCCTCTGGGGACAGGCAGGTACCTCCTACCTTTCACTGCTCTGAGACATGACCTTGTGACTGCTCACCAATAAACTTCCTTCTGGCTTAGCAAGCATGGCCTTGGCCTGTTTCTTTCTGCGTTTCCCTCTCAGTGGAAGCAGAATGCCCCTCTGTGCGCGCCAGCAGGCCATCGTACGCCCCGGGGGTATCCCAGTGGGAGGGCTCCACGATGGGCTTCATGGAAAATGTAGAGCTGTATGGAACTGTGGGCTAGGCCTAAAGGGAACAGCGTGAGAGGTCACTTTTTAGGGTTTGTTTTTAAGGAAATGCTTTTGAAAACAGCGACTCTGTCATGCACTAAGCTGAAACCGAAAGCTGAACATGTTTGCAAAATATTCAAGCTTAGCTTATGGCGGTTATGACATTTCGCAGCCTCGACAAGCTGATCATTAGACCACCACCAGATAAGTTTTACTTCCTTAGAGTTGCCAATGACATGCAAAATGCAGGCTGCAGGCCCAAAGGAGACAGAAGGTGCCTGCGAGCGAGGTCGGTAGACAGACAGTGCAAGGAAAATGCACTAGGTTGAAATTCAAAAATGTGTCACAGTGAAGTGGCCTCTGCCGATGGTGCCCCACCACTGCTCGCCCTTGCCCCCAACAATGCCCTCACCCTATCATCCTTGCAGCCCTCCGAAGTGGCTCCTCAAGTCCCCTATCCTGAGTGCTTGGAGCTGTGCTGTCATGGCTGGCTTCTTGTGCTGAACTGATCAAAAACATTTCCCTTTTGTGGTCACTCTGACTCTGGGGAAGAGTCGGAAGCCTCATGGCGCCGGGTCTGGTGAACAAGGCTGATAAGGGCACACCGAGATGTCCGCCTGCCCGGCGGTGTCGCTGAGCAGCAGCGTTCGCTGCGTTTCTTAGCACACCTCATAAAGATAATCACGAAAGTAAAGATGCTTCTGAAAGTGGCAAGAATGATACGTGTCATATTTTGGGGTTTTTGCAAGGGGGATAACAGAACACATATTTTATAGAATCGTTTTCTAATAGTCACCCAAAGAATCATATACAAAGAGTGCAAGAAATCTGTCCACACACTGAAGACCAAAGAATCCAGCTGAGGGCCTGGATCCTACAATAATGTCCTGTATGGGTTCAGCTGAAGACTTAGAACCCATAGCAATGCCTTCCACAAGTCCAACTGCAGGCCAAGCGCCCAGAACAACATCTTTTTTTTTTTAATTTTATTTATTTTTGTGTGTGTGTGTGTGTGTGTGTGTGGCCAGCTCAGCCCACCAGGGGGCGGGGCTGGCTGGCATGTGGTGCTGGGGATTGAACCGTGGTCCCTGTGCTTTGTTAAGCTTGTTCTAAGTAGGTGTTTTAGACCACTGAGCCATCTCACCAGCCCCCAGAACAACATCTAATGCAGGCCTGCTTCATGGATCTGTGCTGGACAGGCCCAGAGGGCAGTAGTGGAGGCTAAAAAGTCTGTGCCAGTGGGAGGAAGGATCTGTGCTAGCAGGCTGAGAGATGTGAACAGGAGTCAGGAAGCAACACTCGAGGTAAGCACCAGAGCTCCCCCAGAGGTGCCACAGCCGTCCTCAGCAGCAGTGAGGTCCGGAGCTCCTCCAGCAATGAAGAAAGCTGTGTTCCCATCAGGGAAGCCAAGGCGACAAGCTTCTCCAGGAGACTGAACTGTGCACCATCTTCCCCTCTGGAGCCAGGAAGTGGTACTCAAGGTGAGGTCCAGAGCTCCCCCAAACTGAACCACAGCCATTCTCAGGAACAACGAGGTCCCAAGCTCTTCCTCTGCTGAGAAGAGCAAGTTTCACCAGGAAAGCCAGCAGGACGAGGTCCTCCAGCAGAACAGCCCAAGAGAACCAGCAGCTTCCAACAGCTCCAACAACATCTCCAAAGAACTTCCCCCAACGTCCCTCTCCTTCTGCCTCATATGCTGCTGGCAGCAATCCTCAGGTGGACCTCCCACACCCAGCGCCACTGCTCAGTTCAGCTGGGCATGACAAGCTGACCACCGGCTAGCAGTCCACTACAGTGAATTTTTTTTTTTTTTTTTTCCGGAACCGGGGATTGAACTCGGGCCCTTGAGCTTGCCAGGGAAGCGCTTTCTGCTGAGCTATCTCCCGGCCCCAGCCCACTAGAATGGGCTAAATGTGCTCAAACTGATGGGACACTAATGGCAGCACATCTTTCATTGTAGCTAAATTTTTATGAAAACATTTCATAATAAAGCAAGAGAATAACAATAGTTAATATGCTGCGTTATTATCTTCAAAGTGGTTACTCAGAGAACAGGACATCATAAAAAATATTTCCTTGGGCCGGCGAGATAGCTCAGTGGACTAAAGCGCCTGCTTAGGCAAATTTAGGCAATCTCAGGCACTGCGGTTCAATCCCCAGGGCGGGCTGAGCTGGCCAGAGTCTGGGCATGGTGGCGTGCACCTATAATCCCAGCGCTGTGGAGGCTGAAAACAGGAGGATCACCACGAGTCCAGGCTGCGCAGTGAGACCCTACAACAACCAAATACATCAAAAGAAAGAAAAAAAAGTATTTGCCACCATAGCATCGTCACTGTATTATCAATACTAGCCTTTAGTGTGCAGATAGCCGTGGCTGCTTAAAAAGCCCCAGCTGGCAACCGGGCAATGTGCATTTTAGTCCCGGATGGGCCTCACGCAGCCTCTGGGAAAATCACCGAGTTCTCTCAGCTAAGTCTCACACCTGTGGAGTCAGTTGGTTAGCCAGACCATGTCTAAGCCCTTCAGCCTAACTTGCTAGGCCCAAGCACCCCCGGAGGACCCTTCACAGCCGGCACCCCGGGCCACTGGCAGCGCCAGTTTCCCTCCTCCTGTAGGGACAACCAGCCCTGGCCGGCACTTCCCAGCGTAGCAGAGCAGGCTGCAAACGTATAGCACCTCACTCGTCCTTAACACAAACTCGTAGGAGATGTCATGTTTGTGTCTAGTTGTCCCCCCAAAGCCTCATGTAAGTCATGGGGCAGACTTACTTCTAGAGTTTGTGATTAACTCGTGATCCACTGGGATTATGGGTGTGAGTGCTACTGGGATTATGGGGGTGAGTACTACTGGGATTATGGGGGTGAGTACAGCTGGGATTATGGGTGTGCGTGCTACACCCCGCCTGGGGCGGATAGCCTGAATGTAACATGAGAGAGCGGGAGACAGACTTCCTCTCTGTGGCCAGTATTCCTCCATTTGCTCTCTGCCATGAACTGCTGCTCTCTGCCTTGGAGCCAGCTGAGTGTGGACTGAAACCTCAAGTAGCTATGAGCTAAATTAGCCTTCCTTCATTCATTTTGAGTGTCGGGTGTTTGTCCCAGCAGCGAGAGAGGAGTAAGCAAGACGCGTGCTAACAGCCATCCCGCTCTCCAGTGCACAGGTGAAGAAATAGATGGAGGCTGACAGTCCAAATCACACATGACAGAGAAGGAATGAAGCCTAAAGCTGCCTGAAGCCCACCACCCTTCTGCTTCTGTTACACCGAACCCTGGCCTCCTTCCCAGACAGCAGCAGCCATAGCAGAAGCTTGCTGGCCCCAGCTCTTTTAATTGGGAGCAAGAACGCGTCTGCAGACAAGGCCTCCTCCTCGCGCCCTCGGATCGGCGTATCTGCTCACAGACAGTCACAGCGCCCTCTAGAGCGAGTGTAGTGCACGGCAAAACGACTATGCCGCGAGCTTCGGGGATGGCTAACGTCTCCCCTGGGAGGGCGGGGTGAGGAGTGGGCAACGGCTGCAGCGCGTGCAGACGCGGGCCAGTTCCCCAAAGCAAAGGTAGCTAGGGCACGTGGTGGATGGACCCCAGCTGCAAAACTTCAAAAACATTTCCAAAATATGAAAACGAGAGCACCGCCTTCTCACTGCGAGTTAGTCTTTAAATCCCGCCTTGCCGCGCCAACACAGAGTGTGGCCTGGGCCCTGAGGCTGGAGCTGCAGCCAGGGCCCTGGGCAGCGCCAGCACACCTCCAATTTTCCTCGTGGTTTGCAATGATCCAGCCCCGGGTAAAATGAAACTGTGCTCCAAGCTCATAATTGTTTCTCCTTAGTAACAGCAGAAAAGCGAAGAAATCCCACTTTCCCCCCAAATCACACTGCTCTCCACGTCGTGCTATCTCTGTCCACTGTAGACCAATGCAGCAGACCTCCCTGGTGGCCTCCCGTCAGGTACCTGTGCCCACCCCACACCTGGGTCAGATCAATCCTCCAGCCCATTAAAAATATTGATCAGATTGAACTGCTCAGGGAAAGCTGATGACTCGAGATGCCTGTTTTCACCGGGTTTGCTCTTTGGGGTGCAGCCCTAGCCCCCATAACCCAGGGAAGTTTTCCCTGCGACTCCCATCCGCTGCCGACCCTGAGGTGACGCTAGCTAGCACTCCAGTCCTAGCCAGCCTTCTGTATGGTGGCCCCAGAAAGGCCATCTTGCTTTAAACTGCAGCTCTATCCCTTATTGATTATGAGGCCAGTTGTTAAACAAGGGGAAAAACAATTTATATCACATACAACTGGAGTGAAGTTTAAGTTAATTAAAACAGATGCAGCTCTTAGAACAACCGCTACAGCTGCCTTTCCACATTCAGCTTTTATGATACTCTGGACAGGGACTTAATGCTATTCCTTTGGCTGGTTTTCTGTAGGGTTCTACCTATAGAGGGCGCTTTAAGGAGGCAGCAAGTCCCGGAAAGGACAGAGGCTCCTGTGGCCCCAGCAACCAACACTCTTTTATCTGGCAGCAGTGGTAGATTGCAATGTCCAGGTTCTGCAGACAGACAGGAAAGGAGGAAGGATGGAAGGAAGGAAAGAAGGGAGGGAGGGGGAAGAAGGAGAGGGATGGAGGAAGGAGAGAAGGAGCAGGATCCCCATGCCTCCTAGAAGCACCAGCAGCCACAGAGAGGGGAGACCCCAGCTCTGACCCGGAGCGTCCTCCACTCTGGGCAGCACACCTGCAAGCCTCTCGGCTCAAATAAGCCCAACATCCTCTCTTCATTCTCCAGCCCGAGAGCTGGCAGCTCCTTCCTGTATTGCTTCAGTGTTTCTACATTGCTGTCAGGCCTCCCGTAGGTAGGGGATGAAAACTATGCTCCCATCTATTAAAACTCTTGCTGTTGAGATACTTCATATGAAGTCTATCATGTTTGCCGATTTCCCTGAGTATGCTTGATGCAAAAATGATGGCGTACATACTCGCTTTCATTATTTTCTAAACTTACTTTCCTAAATGTCTATCCCATATATTCTAGCCTCTAGGTTCTGCCCCAAAATTCAAGCTCTGCACTAGGCACTGGAAGGGCTGTGGTGAATGAGATGCTGGCCCTATTTCATTCAGTCTCATAAAGAGAACCAATATGTGTACCAAAAAGTACACGAGAGGCCGGGGTAGCCATGGGCGTCCAATTCTGCTGGGAGTAGGGGCAGGCGAGATGCTCCAGACAGTCACTGCTTTGCTTGCCTGGAATGCACTTGCTTATTTTATGAGCACTTCTGATCACAATCCACTTAACCCAGATCGCCCATGAGGGCTTTCTTGATCATTTCAGTCCGTTTCCACACATCTCCCTTTATCAGGCTTTGCACGGAGGCTCTGCCACGCACTGGGCCGCTCTGGCACGCCACGCCCGGTGGCTTAGGTAATTCTCATTTCATTTACATCAGCAATGATTATTCAAGTAATCCTCACTTGGCATTTATTTTATTCTTGCGATACGATTATGATAGATCAATATTGTCTTCAAAATCTGTAGTTGGGGAACTTGAGTCCCCAGAGGCCAAGCGACTTGACCAGGTCTTACAACCGAAAGTTAGGTCAGGATTCAAAACCAGCTCCCAGCTCCCTCCAGGTCCTTACCAAGTACTTGATTACGTGTTGTCTGCATCGTGTGCAAAGGAGTTTCCAGCTGCTTCGATCAGACACCTGACCACGCGCTCCCGGTAAACAAGGAGCCAGGCCTTGCATTTTTGTCTCCACCACACTCCTCAGAGTATACTGAAGGCTTCCTAGATACTTGGCTTCATGTATATATTAACTGATCAGTTTCCTGTTTTTAGTTCCCTACTAACTTTAGCCATAAGATGTTCTCATTAACACAGCATTAAGGTGAAAAGAACTTCGGAAAGATGCCTGCCCACCTGCCATCCTCCTGCCCGCCATCTGTCTGTCTGTCTGTCTGTCTGTCTGGCAGGCGGACATCATCAGCTGGAGAGTGCTTTTGAAAAATGGAACAAACAGGTCAGCAATTTGCTTTTTCTAGAAAAAAAAAATTATGCTGTTTTGCCAAGAGTTCACTCTCAGACCAGATAGCCTCCTCACCTGGGTTTTTAATCTGCTCCAATTTGTAGTTCAAACAATCCTTTGTAACACTGAAGGCTTTTTCATATTTATTTATAATTGCATGCTTAGATGGTGTAGTACATGGCTGTAGAAAAGCATTTAGCGGGCTCACGTTGCATAATTTCACTCTTTTTTACCTCCTGAAGCCCATGGAAAATGTGGACATGAACCCGGCAGAAAGAAGTCCCACACATCTTCTCCTCCCAAATGCACGAGGCGTGCGACCCGAACAGCTTCATCAATCAGTTCTCAGGAGCATCGCTCCGGGTTCTCCGCACTCAGCGGGGATGGCTCGTAAGGAGGCGCCGTGGTTGGTAGGAAAGAGGGAAACCAGGGCAGGTGCGGGTGTGTTTACCTGGTGTGGCACTGTGTGAAAACTGCTCCAGGAAGCAAGATTGAAAGTCACAACACAACCAGCTGAAGAAAACAAGGGGAGCAGGCACGAGAAGCAGGGGCGTTATTGTGTAGACTCGCGGGAGCAACAAGGAAACATCCTGGTGGACGGAAGCCATGGTCTTTAAAACAGGTGGGTATAAAAGACCCGCTGAGGACAGCTCCACAGAGAAAAACCTCTCCAAGCAAGGAAACATCTGACTACTGCCACCATGGCGTGCTCCGCTTCCCGCCTCCAAGGGGCAAGGGTTGTCCACACCGGCCCGGCCACCAGCCTCTGCTCTTCCGACATCTGCAGTCTGTGCGAGGTCAGCCTGCCCAGCAGCTGCCCACACAAGGTCAGCCTCCTGCAGCCCCCCTGCCGTGACACCTGTCCCCCACCCCGCTGTGTGCCTGACTCCTACGTGTCATCCTACTGGCTGCTCAGCAAGCACAACCCCGCCCCTAGCCTGACTGGGGTCTCCGTCATCACCTGTGTCCTGTCTTGTGAGTGTGCCCCTCCCTGCTGCTAGCTGTGGTCGTCGCAGAGCATGCCTGTGTCGCCCTGGAGACCTGCAATCGTCAGCAAGGGAGGCCCAGCAGCTGTCCTCTAATTAGGTGTTCTGGAGGTGTCCTCACCCCGTGCCTCCAGTTTTCCAGAAGCGCTTCTTCCTTGTTTTCAGCAACAATTTCCAAGAAGTGAGAAACAAAGCCATCATGAACCTGCTTGCTTTCAGAGTAAATAAACAGCCCTCCCCCACGCGGCATCCTGTCCTGATGCTGAATGCTATAATTGACCAAGGACTCTTGACACAGGCATCAGGAAGCCGTAAATACATCCAGCAGAATTACACCTTCTGATGTCATCAGTGTAAATCTCATGGCCCAGGGGAAGTCTCCCAGGGAGGTGCAGACATCTGGGGGAAAAACCCTGCACTTGTAATGAGATGCACTCTCTCTAAGCTGAGAATTGTTTTAAATTCCAAGGCTAGAGCCTCCTGTAGTTTTCATTTTTTCCTGCCTACTTAAATGAATTCACATTTCCTTTAAGAGGGAGGGAAGCTAGAAATTACTTAGACATCAGCATATCTTCTAATCTGTATTTTAATCTGGTTCAGTAAATATTTAGCAACCAGGCATAGTCCCAGGTTGAGAGAGACAAGATTAAGGCATAATCCCTACTTTCCAGGACCTTGTACTACAGAGAAAAAACCTAATGTAAGGGAGCCTGGCACACATGCTGGAAGAGCAGCTACGTGGAAGACAGTGGGCCTATTCTGCAGGGCGGAGGAGGAGGAGAAAATGTGTGGAAGGTGCAACTCGCTTCCTTATGGAGATACTTAAGCAGAACCTAGGGGTTGAGCAGGACTAAGAAGAAGGGACTCCACTGTAGGAGGACACTTTAAATAAAAGGAGCCATCCGGGAGGTCACAGGGGTGGCAAAGTTGCCCAGGAAGCTTCACCTCCACTTTTATCTGACGTGCCCCCTGGTGCAGGGGAATCATCATGAGGCCCACAGCAAACCCACTCCACTCACAGGCTCTTCTCACACGCAGCATGGAACCCTCAGGACAACCCAAGGCATTTCCCGCCATCTGTTTTTCAGTCATCTCTGAAAAACCGTAATGGTTTTGCATGACTTTCTGCCACAGTCACCTCAGCAAAGCGTCTGTGCTTCGGGCGCATTGAACAACTTGCCATCGGTGACTTGTTGTGGAAGCCAGATTCCACCCACAGAGCAGTGCTGGGCTGAGAAGGGGTGGAGAGATGTCGGAACCGTGGACTGTCACACACCGGACATTGTCCAGTATGACCCTTCACCTGCCAACCTTCCGGAAAGCCAGTCAAGACTGATTGACCCGAAGGCTGCTGCACAGGGTGCTCCTCAGAGGGATCAGTCATCAGCTGAAGATGCCGGAGATAAAACCACACGAACGTGCTAAGCAGAAAGGCCACGGAAAATGACGGCTATGGGTGCCGCCGCTCTGTGCCGCGTTAGAGCGCAGCCCCTCCAAAACCCACTGTTACTCTGTGAGTCTTAAGAAGTTCCCTTTGGGTTCAGCTTCTTCCTATTGTAAAGGCTGTGCATTCTCAAGTAGAAATAAAGACAGAGCTAGTTTCCTCCGAGTGGCGCGTTTCATAAAGGATTGTGACTGGGTTGGATCTGTCCTCTGATAATTTTGACTCACTATAATGTTGGTATAACTTTAAAAATATAGATACTGTAAAAAGAGAGTAGCACAGTCTTTGGAAACTCACTATGGATTTACTTAAAATAATGAAAAGGAACTTAACCCTACCCCATTCTGCCACCTCGCTTGCTCTCTAGAGTTGGAATCAGCAGCAGCAAATAAGACCACCGTGTTTGGGGTGATGCCGTAATTAGATGAAACACGCATCTTTACGTAGCCCTGTCCTGGTTGACTTTATTGAGAATGATCCAGTGAACCATTTGAATTGTTTGCTCTAAAATTAGTTACCAGAAATCACAGCATGTGGTGCATATTGTTGAAAATTATGGAGGAAGAAAGGAGGAAAAAGCCCTAGCAGAACTCACAGATTGATCACCACAGCTCACGCAAGCCTGGGCAAATCAGAACCCTGTGAAGATAAAACACAGTGACTTTGGGACGAAAACAGCACGTCAATGAGTCAGCAACTTGATGGCTTTAATAAGGGCTGGAACTCTTAATAGACACGAAAATGCCAAACTGATTACAAAATCTTGGTGGAAAAGAGTACTGTAAAAAAAAACTAAGGGTTGGGTCCAACCCACAGCACTGGGTATATAAAAGCCCCAGAGCCAGAGGAGGAGGCATTTGAACCTCAGAACCCTCATCTTTCTCAGGAACCAAAGCTAGCAGACTCCCAGCACCATGGCTTGCTGCGTCGCCCGCTGCTGCAGTGTCCCCTCCGGCCCCGCCACCACCATCTGCTCCTCAGACAAGTCCTGCCGCTGCGGGGTCTGCCTGCCCAGCACCTGCCCACACACCGTCTGGCAGCTGGAGCCCACCTGCTGCGACAACTGTCCCCCACCCTGCCACATTCCTCAGCCCTGTGTGCCCACCTGCTTCCTGCTGAACTCCTGCCAGCCGAGGCCAGACCTGCTGACCATCAACCTCACCACCTTCACCCAGCGCGGCTGCGATCCCTGCACCCCAAGCTGCTGCTGACCTCTGAGGGGCCCAACATGACCGCCCAGCAACCCTCCAGTCCACGTCTATCTAGTCAGTACTCACTTGCCACAGGCTAGCTAATGTGAAGGTCGACCAGATGGCCTAGAAGCAGGAACCTACCTTTGCATTCACTGGAAAATATCCCATGAAATTCCAAGAAATTCCTCTATGGTTATTTGACTGAATAATAATTTGGTTCATGTGGGCAGGTGAAAATCTTCCATTATTAAAATGCTATGAAAATCTTCAAGACTTCAAACCATGTCTTGCTGGTCATGTTGCTTCCTGAATCGTATTTCCTACATTCAATAGTTTCATAAAAGCAAAAGAATGAGCTGGTGGGTTTTCTAATAAACTTTATTCCCTGGCTACATGTGTTCTTTGTTTATGTTAGAGTTTTGGGTATATTTCTTCTATTAAAAAAACAAAGATAGTTTTTTAAGTTTCATTAAGGAATCGCTGAAACTCGCTTATTAACATGGCTTGAGAGTTTTTTGCTTTGTTTTCTTTTTTTGCCTTTTTGAAATAGGGTCTTGCTATGCAGCTCAGACTGGCTGTGAGCTCACTTTGTCACCCATGCTGGTCTCCAACTCACAGCGACCCTCCTGCCTCAGCCTCTTGAGCGCTGGGATCATAGGCGCATGCCACTACGCCCAGCCTGGCTCATGAACTCCTAATTGGTTGTCTTTCATGCTCGCCTTCTGACTCTCCTCTTCCTCAGACAAACACCATGCTGGAATGAGCTGCCATTTATTTACCTAGCTTTTTCTGGGTGAATCACTTGTACTCATGTATTAACCCTCCAGACAGCATCAGTGGACAAGAACAATGGGGCTTTAAGAGTCATCAGCATTATCAAAGTCCTAAGCCTTGTTACTAAGAAAAGCAGAATTTAGCTCCTGGTACATCTGGCTGTAAGGAGCCCTTCTCTCTGCCCCGTCCCAGAGCCTCCCATACTAACATAGGTAGGAGCAGGATGAGCGGTTAGAACATCAAGGTGAGATATGCAAGAGGAATCAAAACTGCAGGGGGAGTCTTCGTTGTTGTCTGAGACTGGGTCTCGCTGTGTAGCTCAGAGTCTCACTGTATAGCTCAGGCTGGCCTTGAGCTCATGATGTCGTCCCACTCTGTCAGGCAAGGGCTTGAGCACTCAAGCTGAAATACTGATCAGACATGACCTGCTGCACGGATTAACTTTATCAACCTGCTTAACTTTATGTCACGCAGATTATGCTTTTCTGAGCCTAGACAGGATTCCTGTGTGATGTGTTATATGCAATACACACGTGCACGTCTGTAACGCATGCAGGCACATACAGTACATACTTAAAAACACAAGTCTAAATCTGAAAGCTCACTGAAATAAAATTGGGAGAGTGTGTATGGGGTGGAAAAACATAGGGCAAGAAAGAGGAAAAGCAAACGCTTTTACACAAATATGCTTGTAAGTCCTTGAAGAACCTGGCAGTCTCTCCAGAGAGAGATTTCCCTGAAGACCTCCACAGGCTTCTTAAAGAGTCAGACTTTGAATGAGCAGAACTCTCGCTGGGGTGCATCTAGGATGCTGCCCCTGAGCCATGTCACAAACGTGCTAGTTCATTTGGCCAATATTTCTTGAGTGCTTCGTCATGCCTGGCACCATCTTCCAGCTAGAAGCATAAAGAAAGAAATATTGTGGGGAGTCGGAAGGGAAGAGGGTGGGGTGAAGAGATAGAAGACAACCAAAATATGTCATGGCCATACAAGCCCCCAGAATGAGCACCACAGCTCCGTGCAGTAGACATATATTTAGAAAATTTTCATATTTTTGCAAAAGAAATCGTTTCCCTAAAGCATCCTCAATTTCCAAATCTTGGAAAGGAGATGGGCTAATGATTGTAACCATAACACATGTGTGTTAATTTCACATGCATAGAACTACACTGGTGTCTGATTCCCACTGGGGCTGAGGGTTGAGAAGGAAGAGAAGGAGGATGGGGAGGAGCAGGAAGAGAAGGAAGAGGGGGAGGAGCAGGAGCCAGATCCAGGGCCAGTGCCTTAGTGCCAGGGAGCAGGAGGTCTGGGGCCACTCTGCTCTCTGGGCTAGGTCTGCAGAGATTAACAGGCAGGAGGAGGAGTGGAAGCTGCAGCTCAATAAGTCACAAGGGTGTGGGGAGCTACAGGAGGGCGCTGGGAGGACGGGGAGAACGGGAGGCGCGCAGACAGGAGGAGCTGGGGGCTCCTGAAAAGCCAAAGCTTCTCCCTAAAGCCACAGAGCAATGAGAGACTTGAAGCCAGGGACCAACAACCAAACTACCCTTCTGTTGGTTTCCATCGTCCATCTTTGATTTATGTCTTCACTGCCACAGATACCCCTATTGACTAAAGAGAAAAATAATTAAAACTGGATAGTGTGTGTGTATGCGTGTGTGTTTAGGTGTGCGTGGATTTTCAAAATGATGAAAATTGTAATGGTATATTTTCATCACTTTAGAAATCCACCATGTAAATGAGAATTGCCGTATTTTTCTTGCATTGACTCCAAGAAAAAGAGAGACCTTTTATTTTAAGGAAAAAAATAGGTTTCATAGCTCTGACACATGGTTTAAACTCCCATTAAAAGCCACAACTAGGATATCACAGTCCCAGTGAGTCACAACGTCATCTGAGGACAATTATGTCGCCGATCTAGGCCTCTCCATCTTCAGCCATAAGCAAAGGGGAGTAATCCCCAGTCCCTAAGGCCACGGGACAGAAAATCTATTTCAATAAAGTGCTCTAGATCTCATCAACAGAAGCATGAATTTATCAAGGACCACGCACGTGCTACTTTACAAGGGTTTCTATTCTACGGTCTGGAAGCTCAATTACAGAAGCAGGTGTTCTACATGAATAATAGTTCTTTTAACCTGGAGTGGCGAACTCCAAGGACCACAGAGTTCTGAATAAGACACTGACAGCTTTCTGCCCTGAAGTTCTGCTGGTGACAATTTCCCTTTGCACTGTGACATTTCAAATGTCACAGTAACTTTCTTCCTTTTATTTTGGTGGCCTTTTTCCTCTTGGTACCTAAGTTTTTCCTTCCCACTATCAGGCAGTGTAGCAGCAACGGATAATAATTTATTATGTGTGTGAGAAATTTCCCAGCAGGCCTTAAATCCCACGAAAGCAGGGGCAGCGTGCACTCGCTCGCCCGCAGAGGCCCTCCGGGATGTGGCACAGCAGCGTCTGGTGCACGGCGGCTGCTCGGTGGATGCCTGTCCAATCGCCTCTTCAGCTGGCGAGTGAAACACCAGCCTTGAATCCTTCGCTCACTATGAAGCACGCAGTGTGACTCTGGCTGAGAAGCCGGGGGGTCC